CGTCTCCATCCCCATGGGCGATGTGGAGTCGTGGGGAGGAAGGTGATGGGGCGTGGAGGAAGAGGGTGGTGTGGCGAGAGTGGGGAGGTGTGGAAAAAAATTACACCATAAAACACTCCATCATCTCCCTCCAACACAGCGATCTAAAACTGCCTTACACCTTACCTCACCCCTCACATCTCATCTCAACCCTCACACCTCCACGACCGGACTGTCACTTGAAACAAATAAAAAGAGGACTTGAATTTTATAAAATAATCTAAATTCGACTTATCAGTTACTTTAGTTTTATCGAAAGTTGTGACTCCACTCGACCTTCGTCTCATGAAATTCCAGAACTCTCTCAAAATGTAGACAGATTAACACATAATTTCTGGCAAACTTTTGTTTCTGTAGAGGAACGAATGACTAAAGTCGACTATGATTCGCACCTGACCACAAAAAAGACCAAATTCACCAAAAACAGTGTGTTACCTTTGAAAGCGAGAGGTGTTAACGCCCTCTCACCCGTCAGGGAGATGGTGACCTCCACGCGCCCTCTCACCCGTCAGGGAGATGTTGACCCCCACACGCTCCCTCGCACGTCAGATCACTCCAGATTCCCTCCCCAAAATAGGATATTAAATCCATCTTTCCTTTTGTCTCCTCCTACTCCTCGGTGTTCTCGCCTGGTCGCCTTGATAATGTTTGACGTCGTCGCCTTCCCTACCTCGACAAGAGTGCCATTATTGTGTGGGTGTAGGTGGTGGTGTATGGGTGTAGGTGGTGGTGTATGGGTGTAGGTGGTGGTGTATGGGTGTAGGTGGTGGTGTAGGTGGTGGTGTATGGGTGTGGGTGGTGGTGTGTGAGTGTAGGTGGTGGTGTATGGGTGTGGGTGTAGGTGGTGGTGTATGGGTGTAGGTGATGGGTGTGTGTATGGTGTGTATGGGTGGTGGTGTGTGTGGTGGTGTAGGGTGTGGTGGTGGTGGGGTGTAGGTGGTGGTGTGGGTGTAGGTGGTGGTGTGAGGGTGTGGTAGGGGTGTAGGTGGTGTGGTGGTGGTGGTGTATGGGTGGGTGGTGGTATGGGTGTAGGTGATGGTGTGAGGGTGTAGGTGGTGGTGTATGGGTGTAGGTGGTGGTGTACAGGTGTAGGTGGTGGTGTACGGGTGTAGGTGGTGGTGTGAGAGTATGAAGGCGAGCTTATTTCTGGCGAACTTGAGGGGAGGGGAGAGGGGAGGATGGTGTTGAAGTGGAGGAAGTTGAAGGTGAGGAGACCACGTCCACACTCCCATGATCAACCACCGCCCACACACTCACGTTCCCTTTCACCCACGCCCATACTCCCGCAACAATGCTATACAGTACACATCACGGCCACACTAACCCGTGGGTGTGCTAGAATGAGGGCAGTTGGCTCAGATGTATTCCTATTTGGTAAAGAATTACACACACACACACACACAAGAGAGAGAGAGAGAGAGAGAGACTACCTGTATGTATCGTCTGTAACCCATTATAAGTGGATCTCTCTCTCTCTCTCTCTCTCTCTGCCATCCGCCATTAGTCTTCTTCATATATTTATTTGTCTGTCTTCTCTTTTTATCTTTTGGCCACTTTCTCATTTTTTTCTCCAATTTATCAACTCATTTTCTGTCCACCATCACTTCCTCTTTCTCCTCCTCCTCCTCCTCCTCTTTTATTTTCTGAACACTATCCTCTTCTCGTATTCAGACCACCACCACTACCACCTCCTCCTCCTCCTCTTCCTCTTCCAAATTTTGCCCGTCTACCTCATTACCTGTCCACACCTTGCATGATCCCCACTCACCTCTCCCCTCCCCCAGCCTATTTTTCTCCCTCCATTTCTCCTTCTCTTTATCCCCTTCTCTCTTTCCCTCCCCCATCATCGTCTGCAAATATCCCCTCCCCTCGTCCAACCCCTCTCTCATGTCCGCCTTTATCCTCGTTTCCCCTCACTTCCTCCTCCTCATTTATTTCCCCTTTCCTCATTTCCCCAACCCCACCCCACCTCCCTCTCTCTTGTCTTTCCCCTTACCCCCATCATTCCTTCCCCTCCTCCTCTTCCTCCCCCTCGTAAACCCCTCCCCCCCCAACCCTCTGACTGCAGACTGCGCACGCCTGCATCGCCAGATCAATATATGAGGAGTGCACGTGCATGTAGGTCGGGTCGACTGGTCAATGACCCAGCTCTGCCACGGCCCTTGCTCAGTGCGTTCTTGTTGATACATGTTCCTTTGTTGCTGTTACGGCTGTTTGACATTCCGCTGTTCCAGAAAGTCGTGGTATTAAGAACAGCAATGCCGGTATTTTGGATTGTTTTTGTTTTTTACATATGGTCTTTATTTACATGGGATTGCGTTGTTAGTTCTGCTTCCAGTTGTTGTTCTTGATAATTGTGATTCCATTATTTATTTTTACCGTTACTTATAATTGCCTCTCGGTCAATTATACGACTTCTGTTGACAGGTATATATAAATACATCCGCTTGTTGATGGTTTAGCCTCCAGGGTTTTTTTGTGTGTTTCATGTTCCTGGTTCTAATTTTCAGTGGTTCAGACTTTCATAATCCTGGCTCCAGCATGGTTCCAGTTTCCAAGGAGGTCTCCAGATTCAAAAATGGTTTAAAACCTCATGGTGGTTTCATTTTCCTGATCTAGGTTCCAAATTGGTTCCAGATTACACGAAGCCTCCAGATTTAAGGTATCTTAGTGGTTCTAGGTACCCGAATGGTTCTAGAGGTTCCAGAGGCTCCACCAGGGAGTGTTGGAACCCAGACGACCATGAACTGTCACGCCGAGATCCGTCTCATCCATCATTACTCCCTGGATGATTTAATCACCGCTTTCGTCTCTCTCTCTCTCTCTCTCTCTCTCTCTCTCTCTCTCTCTCAGGCTTCAATGACCTTAGGGTTCAAGGGTTCAATGTTGTGTATAAGAACGTAATGGGGTGTGTAAAGACCTCTGTAAGTTTATCTATAGGTTCAGAAATCATTATCGTGACTTCTTTGAATACATATAACGATCCCTCTCAACATCCGGCCTTGTTTGACCTCAGCCATGTCAAGGGTCAGGCCCATTAAGCTTTCCTAGTGGCCGGATCTCATGCTGGGGTGAGAGGGGGGGGGGGGGTAGGTGATGTTGCGTGCAAGGTGGACGTATGTCGTTGATGAGGCTAACTTTATCCAATAATTGAGATGAATTACCTTTTACTTCGTTATTAGGGAAGTTTCTGTTGCCCCCCCCCCCTCTTAGCCACTACCACATGGCTACCCGAGCCTACACGACCTGACTTCCGGATTACAAACATGACGAAAGAACACTCTACTTCCGGGTCTAATATAGGACTGCCGGATTAATTACATAGGTTGGATTATTTAATGACATAGATTACATTTCGACTGCCGGATTAATGACATGGGTTGGATTATTTAATGACAGATGGATTACATTACGACGATTGGATTACATAATGACTGGGTTACTTGAGGGTGACAGGCCATCACAAAAACCAATTCACGCAACAACAGCCGGATTACATGAAAACAGCTGGATTACATGACAACAGCCGGATTATATGAAAACAGCCGGAATACATGACAAGAAGCTATAGTTTGACTCCTAAGATTATATGTGCTCCGAAAACATCTTCCGGGTTGGCCTACACACACACACACACACACACACACGGAGGTAGTACTTGGTATCAGGACTGGCATTCCTATAAATTATTTTCAAAGGGTAATTAAAACCGTGAACGTTTTCTTTAATATAGAGAAGAAAAAAGTATGGATAATGAATGTTTTCTCCTGTGTGTGTGTGTGCGTGTGCGTGCGTGCGTGCGTGCGTGACCGTCTTGGGGAGATGTAGCCCTGACCTCATTTAACTTCGTTATTTTCTTTATCGTTTAACCTTCGCCATCATTGATCGATGCTAATGTACCGCGTGAGGATAAGGGACACGTGATCGTCTCATTTGTCGTAGCGAGCGAGCAAGAAGTAAGCGCTATGGTTTGCTAGATTACAGGGTGGAGGCGCCACCAGCGTTCGTGAGTAGGGAATGAATAAATAATGGCTGGACTAGTGTGTGTGTGTGGCGTCATTCAAATCGCTAACAAAAGGATTCTTAATATACATAGCTGTCGGAAGTAATGTTAAATTATCATTTACCCATTCGTTAAAATTCTCCCACCCCGCTCCCCACTCTCCCCTCCCTCCTCCTCCCTCTCGTGGTTTAAAACATTCTGCATGTGACAGGAGCTGTAATTACATTTTATATTTATGTATGTATGTTACTTTGTTTTTTTATCAGTGCCAAACTCTAAAAGATTTATTTAATGGCTCACTTAAACGACACTTACACTTACATTAACTCGTGGCTTACTTTCGCTAGATGCCACTTAAATCTGTACTTAATGTAGTTCTCGTCAGCGTGGGCGATACAGGTCAAGGGTTGTGTACTGAGTGATGTAGTATATCTTAGACAAGGTTAGGGTGTGACTGAAGTGCTGAGGGTAAGACTTAAGTTAGAGTTATGGGCGTTATCTTAGACTGATCCTGTCATGGAATAAGTTATTGAGAATTAAGGAGATAAAGTATATCTTTAATATAATGAGTTAAAAAGAACTGATTTAAAGATTCGATTTAATTTTGTTTTTATGATATCAGGTTAGTGATACGCTTAGTGTGTGTAGTACTGTACCCCACGTGCAAACAAGTGTGTGTGTAGTACTGTACCCCCACGTGTAAACAAGTGTGTGTGTAGTACTGTACCCCCACGTGTAAACAAGTGTGTGTGTGTAGTACTGTACCCCCACGTGTAAACAAGTGTATGTGTAGTACTGTACCCCCACGTGTAAACAAGTGTATGTGTAGTACTGTACCCCCACGTGTAAATAAGTGTGTGTAGTACTGTACCCCCACGTGTAAACAAGTGCGTGTAGAAGTGTACCCTCACGTGTAAACACAGTCGAGGCTAACCCCAGACCCTCTCCTCTTTTACAGTGCAGCAAGTGTGAGGCCGTCGTGATCCCGCCGGACCAGAGGCTGAGTTTCTTCAGTGACTACAGCAGAACCCACGCGTGTCCCTCCTGCGGCCATGTTGACCACCACTTTGTCAAGCCCTTAAGTTCCTTCATCAGAGACGACAGACAGTCTTGGTAGTACCTGCGCATCCGCCTCCGTCGAGGCAGTGCAGCTCGTGGTAGGTGCTGGCGCAGTAGGCTTTGCGGTCTGGCCACACTTTAGTGCAGGTGTTGAGAGGGAGTTTAGTTTATATTTAAAGAAAGTCTGTCATTGATGTGTTGGTGTTTTACCAATATAGTTGAAGTGGTGAAGGGAATGTTTGTCAAGAGTAGATATTAACCCGACAGATTCTTGGGGGAGACAAATGTTCAGAACTGATTTATTTGAAAATAATTTCATGATAATTATCATTTAAATTAACGACAAAATAACATTTTGATAAGAAATTTACATAATATAGTGGTGTGTATAATGAGAGTACTAAGTTGTGTTCCTCTTGGCCAACAGGGATAATGGCAGGCGTGAGCTCACCCACAGAACACAACCCTCAAGGTGTCATCGGAGAAGAGTGTGTATAGTGAACTAAGAGGCATCAAGAAGCAAGACATAGTTAAGTGTCAGTCATCAGAGAGCAAGTCATCGTTGAGACATGGGTTGACCGGAGAGATGTGGTCGTTTTTATGAAGCGGTATTTTGTGGAAAAGTTTTGTTTTTACGTCTTCAAGAAGGTAATTTGTAGTCGTCGTCGCCATCGTGTGAAGAGACTCTGAAGTTTGGTTTACATTCCAGAAGACGTTCTTGATGTCTGACATCCATAAGAGGTGGAAGAGGAAGAGCCCTGAAGAGGTTGCCGACGGACTTGTTTTGAAAAAGAGATATTACGAATATGCTGAGGTTTAAGGACGCGAGGAGAAGAGTGTGTGGAAGAAGAGGAGGAGTATTATGTGAAAGGAGAGGAGCCTCAGCTACTGGAGGGAGGAAGATCCTCCACAAAATGTGAAACATGAACGATGAGACGATCTGGATGTGACGACGAGAAAAAGTAAATCGGAAATTCTTTATGCATGTCATATTTTCGTGTGGGAAGATGCGTTTGGATTGAATCTGTTTGCCTACCATCAGGGCTGCAACCTACCAGGAACGGATCCACAGTGTGGTCTTGTGCGAGAAGCTTCATAGACGTTTGTGGTAGAAAAAAACATTTAAAATAATGCTCATTTGGGCAATTTGGTGTTTTTGGTGTGCAGTTGAGGGGAAACAAATAGACACTGTAAAAAAACAAACTAACCCATATGGATCGGGGAAGTATCTTTTTGCTTTTTGGGGGGTCCACCAGAAATTGTGGACGGATGTAAATACATAGAGATTAGTTGTATTCTAATTGTGTGATCTATTGTGCTGTCTCCAACTTTACTCCGTAAGTAAGTCTGAATTTCGATGTTTCAACGTAGAAATAGTCAAAGATTCCTTGCTGACATAGATCCAGAGACAAAAACTCAACAACCCCGTTTGAAATTCACCAAAACAATGAGAGAGAGAGAAAGAGGAGAGGAAAAAAAAAGTGTGGATAAGAACGGATGTTGAGGAGAAAATAGTTAAGTGTAAAGTTCCAAGTACAGTATTTTGAAAAATAAGTAAAGGAAAGAAGGACAGGAGAAAGTGAGAAGTGGAGGAGGGAAGGACAGGAGAAACTGAAAAAAGTGGATGAAGTAATGGATAAGAGGGGAGGAAAGTTGGAGAAAGGACAGTTAAGAAGACTAAGATAGTGTTTTGGAGGAGACAGAAGTTACTGAAAGGAAGAAAACCAAAAAAAAAAAAAAAGACTTTTTCGGTGTCTTTGTGGAGGAGAAAACCAGAAATCATCGGCAGAGAACTGGAGCTAATGATGGGAGGCCAAGAGGTAGGAGTGAGGAGAACAGGTGGTGTAAGGAGGGGAGGTTCCTTCCCTGCAAAAACTTCACTTACATCCTTCCTACTGAGGCGATAACACCTTCCTCGAGGAGTAGGAAGGAGCAGCCATGGACAGTGAATAGGTAGTAAATTGGGAAAGGTAATCCAATGCTCATAACAATATTGATGTGAGAGGCTGAGAGAGAAGAGTGACCTGGAGAGAGAGGATGAGAAAGCCAGCGAAGGATATCATCATTGAGGGCCTGAGCAGGACTCCATTGCAAGGACTCACCCACCACCATGTTAGTTCCCTGCAGCCTAAAGGAGAAGGAATCAGGCCTGCATCACCACCACCACCACCACCAAGAGGACATCACTACCACCAACATCGAAAGTGCTAATGGACCGCCACCATCACCACCCAGTGGACCAGTCTGTGTGGTCCACTTTGGCCTCCCATGGTCCACTGTTTTCTGGCCTCCCGTGGTATGCTGTTGACCACTGGACCGTTGCAGACCACTCGTGGCTACGGTTCAGCTCCTGGTTCTGTGTGCGTCATCTCGGCTCCAAGCTGATGATAGCAGTAACCTCATGGAGGGATAAATGCCTGTAAGTTAGTTCAATGTGCACTCTTTTCTTTGTATTGTAGCTCCTAATGAAGTATATTTCCTCAAATGACAGTGAATTCGCTTGTATGTAGGGATGAAGATAAGGACACTTTTTAAAACTCTCCGTATTGAATGTGTAAGATTTTTTACTAGTAGCTTCATGATGTACCGTGAGGACGCTTCTGCTCTTGGTCTCTCTGCCTCAAGGGGGAGTCTAAACAAAAGAGAAACAAACAAATTATAATCAAAAACTTTCATCTGTTTTGTAAATCTGGTTACGATTGTGGCTGTAACGAGGGTTGATTTATTTAGTTATTAATACAGAGAAAGGTTTAAGAGAGGCCGATCGTAGAAGCGTTCACGCAGTGGCTTCCGTTTATGCCGAGAAACTGGGGACGCCGCCTAAGAAGTCGGGTGTAGAAAGGTTTCAGTCACTCCTCAGAATTTCAGAGTCAGTCAGAATATTGAGAAGAATTCCGTCAAGTATTATAGTTCAACTTTGGTGAGAAAAAAAAACAGCCTTATTTAATATTCAAAAACTTCTATACAGTAAATCTATGTATCTTCAGGGAGTCAATAATGGTAAGAATAAGTTCACGTCACCGGAGGTTGACACTTGAAAAGTCTACCAAGAGAAATTCAGCCGTCAGAGTCATCCAACCAAAACCAAATTAGAGGTGGACCCAATAACTGCTTGTCCCATAGTGGGTGAATAAGGTAGAGCTGTGACCAGGAGGTAACTCTTTCCACCATAACGTGTGTAACACTTGTGGTATAAATCCATCTCGGACTACTTTTGAACAGTTGAAGCTCTTGTGAGTACTTCAGTGGCTAGTGTGTTCATCACCATGGCTACTTAAATATACACGACGAGAGACTCGCTGCTCAGTGAATTAAAAAAAAACTGAAGGACGAGCGACCCGGCTGTGTAGTGTGACTATGAGCTTGGCGCTGAAGACCCATCCATCACGTCCCTAAATAACCAGAGAGAAACGCGGGTTAGTTCAGTCTTCTCTCCCACTGTGTGACTCAGGATGTTTGTCTTAGGACTGTGGAGACGCCTGTGACAGGACTTGAAGACAGGCTGACCTCGAGTAACCTTCATGACCTAACTGATATCTTTACTGACCTTGTATGACTTTTCATTTCTCCTATCAACGATAACTTGTGGGAGACCTTTGATATGCGTGACGGGATTAACTTTTTCGATTTTTTTTCGGAGACTTTGGAGGACTTGTGTGACCTCACCTGACCTGACTTCTTTGGCGCAGACTCCAGCCGTTGTGTGCATCGCTAGGATAAGCTATTTGGGACCTGATACTTGTGACCAAACCAGCGATTGTCAGTATCCATGTAGGGTCAGCGACTTGTCAACTCGCAAAGCTATAATTTGTATGACGAGGGAGACTTGACGGAGGAATGAGAGAGAGAGAGAGAAAGAGGTGGAAGGATCACCTGTGGACAGTAGTGTGATAAATATTGGTGCTTCTTGCTGCCGTCTCGGCAAGTTCCTGACTATTCCTAGTAGTTAGTAATCAAGTTTTTCCAATTAAAATTGTATCCTTCTACAACGATACTGACCATTCCAAAGATTAATCCGAATTATATAAATAAATAATAAAAACGTATGTATCAGATAGCTAAATTATTATCACTAGATCTTTCAAAAAAATTATTATATATTTCTTCATAGAAATATTACTGTCCATGGATGAGAGGAGGGGGGACCTGTCCACTGATGATCCTCTGCCTTCCCGACTGACCAAAAGGTGACCTCCTTGTTCCTACGTCAACACACCTGATTTCTCGCACTCTAACTGAGAAGCCTTCACTCAGACGACGTGTTCTGTCTAGCATAACTCACTTCATTTCAGTAACTTAATGGCAAAGTCAAAACATATTTAATAGTAAAAAAACCTTCTCATTGTGGCCGAGCATAGATTCAAGATGTGGCTTCGAGTTGGGTGTCGAGGAATCTGGACGAGCAAATGTTTCAAATTATGGTTCTTGTGCAGTGACCAGTGAGGAGATGAGCAGTTCTACACCTAAAATAGTTGATAAAGGTGAAAGGTTCTGGCAGTAGAACATACTGTAAATGGATAAATAAAGGAGCACAGAATGTAATAAAGACAGATCTTGTTCCAGGAGGAGGAGGAGGAGAAGGAGGAGAAGAGGAGAAGAAAGAGGAGGAGGCGGAGGTGAAGAATATGTTTGAAGTGGAGGAAGCAGCAACATCACTACGCCGTAAACACTCGACTAGGGGGTGGGTGCCTGCTACTCCAAGGCGTCACCAAACCCTCCTTGTGTTTACACTTGAAAAAGTCAGTTTTCAGCAGTTGCTCTTATAAGGTGTCAAAAAAATTATTGTTTGAAGACGAAAATAATGTAGAAGAAAAAAGGAACTTCCACCATGTATGTGTTTTGGTTACCAACGGTTAGATTTGCTCTCTCCTCACAAGTCGTGCTCAGCTGTGTTGTGTCGCGAAGCAGAACTGGCTTGCATTTCAGCTGGGATAAAACCTGGACAAACACGCCACGAACCTTCAACTCCTCTCTGCGGCCCAAACTTCTTAAGGTCAAACCTATACGAGATGTATATGGGTCCACAGGGGGCGTGAGTGAGAGTTGCAGTGGTCGTGTGTCCTAGTTGATCCATAGCTTGTATAGGCTACTTTTTATCGGCTCAATTGTGAATATAGTGTTGGTATATCCGTAAGTAGACCAAGATAAAGGAACACGAGTCACACCTTTGTTTGCTTGGCTAAATTTGATAAGTTACTGGAAAAGGAATAACATTTCGTCGAATTAGACTGTGCCTTGCTATGGATAAATTACAAAAAAAAAATGTGTTGCTTTGTTTATTCTTTTTTTTCCAAATTGGCATGATTTGTAATTACAATATGATCATTCTTGAAAATAAATTTACTTTTGTACCCCCAATTGGCTTTGGTATTTTTTTGAATTCCAAAATGATTTGTTTAAAAAGAATCCTCGTCACCTCTTCTCTGTATGTAAGAAGGAGGGAGACGATGATATAAAACAATCAAAATTTTTCACCTTAAAAAAAAATAAGGTTGATCCCAAACAAAACAAAACAAGATTGTTATTGCATATACCACGATGTATCTGTGATGGTTAACAAGCAGAATGGCAAGCGAGGAAACAACAATTGTCCATTAAAAAGAAAAAAGATATGTATAAAAATAAAAACACAAGAAAATTTGCATATTGGTTGAGAGTGATAGAACCAGTACGTTAGATGGATGATGGCGGTGGATTTAGTGATATTGAATGAGACGGATTAAAAAAACCTATTGTGGTGAGGTAAATAGGACCCCCTAAAAATGGATATTAGGTAGGTCATAGGAAAACTAGGCAGTACATTAGAATAGACAATAGTAAAAAAAATAGGCAGGAATTAGGAAGAAAATGAAGAACATGTAAAACATAGGTGAAAGTATTGCATTACAAAAACATTGAATAAGCAGGGAAGAATAAAGAGGAATGTGCAGGTAAATGATAACTTAGGAATCGGTATAAACTGATGAATAACAATGCGTAAGTAAACCACCCAAAAAAATAATAAAATGAATAAATTATTAGATTAATGTATAAACTGAGTGAAGCAGAAGATGAAATAATAATCTTATGTCGAAGTAATGTTTTGTTGAGTTGAAAATGGGATTAGTGAGGTAAAGAAGGTTAATTAGTGAGGTAAAGAAGGTTAATTAGTGAGGTAAAGAAGGTTAATTAGTGAAGTAAAGAAGGTTAATTTGTGAGGTAAAGAAGGTTAATTTGTGAAGTAAAGAAGGTTAATTAGTGAGGTAAAGAAGGTTAATTAGTGAGGTAAAGAAGGTTAATTAGTGAGGTAAAGAAGGTTAATTAGTGAGGTAAAGAAGGTTAATTAGTGAGGTAAAGAAGGTTAATTTGTGAGGTAAAGAAGGTTAATTAGTGAGGTAAAGAAAATTAATTAGTGAAGTAAAGAAGGTTAATTTGTGAGGTAAAGAAGGTTAATTTGTGAGGTAAAGAAGGTTAATTTGTGAGGTAAAGAAGGTTAATTTGTGAAGTAAAGGTTAATTTGTGGTTAATGAAGGATAGTGAGGAAAAGAAGGTTAATTAGTGATTAATGAAGGTTAATTAGAGAGGTAAAGAAGGTTAATGAGTGAGGTAAATAATGTTAATTAGTGAGGTAAAGAAGGTTTATTAGTGAGGTAGTTAGGTTCATTTAAATAGACTGAAGGGCAGATTGTTACACTGGATATTGTCAGTTACACCTCAGAAGGGTTATGACGTAATGGTAGTTACACCTCAGAAGGGTTTTGACGTAATGACAGTTACACCTCAGAAGGGTTATGATGTAATGGTAGTTACACTTCAGAAGAGTTATGACGAAATGACAGTTACACCTCAGAAGGGTTATGACGTAATGGTAGTTACACTTCAGAAGGGTTTTGACGTAATGACAGTTACACCTCAGAAGGGTTATGATGTAATGGTAGTTACACTTCAGAAGGGTTACGACGTAATGGTAGTTACACCTCAGAAGGGTTATGAGGTAATGGCAGTTACACTTCAGAAGAGTTATGACGTAATGACAGTTACACCTCAGAAAGGTTATGATGTAATGGTAGTTACACTTCAGAAGGGTTTTGACGTAATGACAGTTACACCTCAGAAGGGTTATGATGTAATGGTAGTTACACCTCAGAAGGGTTATGACGTAATGGTAGTTACACATCAGAAGGGTTATGACGTAATGGTAGTTACACTTCAGAAGAGTTATGACGTAATGACAGTTACACCTCAGAAGGGCTATGACGTAATGACAGTTACACCTTAGAAGGGCTATGACGTAATGGTGGTTACACTTCAAAAGGGTTATGACGTAATGGTAGTTACACTTCAGAAGGGTTTTGACGTAATGACAGTTACACCTCAGAAGGGTTATGACGTAATGGTAGTTACACTTCAGAAGGGTTTTGACGTAATGACAGTTACACCTCAGAAGGGTGATGATGTAATGGTAGTTACACCTCAGAAGGGTTATGACGTAATGGTGGTTACACCTCAGAAGGGTTATGACGTAATGGTAGTTACACCTCAGAAGGGTTATGACGTAATGGTAGTTACACTTCAGAAGGGTTTTGACGTAATGACAGTTACACCTCAGAAGGGTTATGACGTAATGGTAGTTACACCTCAGAAGGGTTATGACGTAATGGTAGTTACACCTCAGAAGGGTTATGACGTAATGGTAGTTACACTTCAGAAGAGTTATGACGTAATGACAGTTACACCTCAGAAGGGCTATGACGTATTGACAGTTACACCTTAGAAGGGCTATGACGTAATGGTGGTTACACTTCAGAAGGGTTATGACGTAATGGTAGTTACACTTCAGAAGGGTTTTGACGTAATGGTGGTTACACTTCAGAAGGGTTATGACGTCATGATGGTTACACCTCAGAAGGGTTATGACGTAATGACAGTTACACCTCAGAAGGGTTATGACGTAATGGTGGATACACCTCAGAAGGGTTATGACGTAATGGTAGTTACACCTCATAAGGATTATGACGTAATGGTAGTTACACCTTACACCTCAGAAGGGTTATGACGTACCTCAGAAGGGTTATGACGTATTGACAGTTACACCTCAGAAGGGTTATGACATAGGTAGTTACACCTCAGAAGGGTTGTGACGTAATGACAGTTACACCTCAGAAGGGTTATGACGTAATAACAGTTACACCTTAGAAGGGCTATGACGAAATGGTGGTTACACTTCAGAAGGGTTATAACGTAATGGTGGTTACACTTCAGAAGGGTTATGACGTAATGGTAATTACACTTCAGAAGGGTTATGACGTAATGACAGTTACACCTCAGAAGGGTTATGACGTAATGGTAGTTACACCTCAGAAGAGTTATGACGTAATGGTAGTTACACTTCAGAAGGGTTTTGACGTAATGACAGTTACACCTCAGAAGGGTTATGACGTAATAACAGTTACACCTTAGAAGGGCTATGACGAAATGGTGGTTACACTTCAGAAGGGTTATAACGTAATGGTGGTTACACTTCAGAAGGGTTATGACGTAATGGTAGTTACACTTCAGAAGAGTTATGACGTAATGACAGTTACACCTCAGAAGGGTTATGACGTAATGGTAGTTACACCTCAGAAGAGTTATGACGTAATGGTAGTTACACTTCAGAAGGGTTTTGACGTAATGGTAGTTACACCTCAGAAGGGTTATGACGTAATGACAGTTACACCTCAGAAGGGTTATGACGTAATGGTGGTTACACCTCAGAAGGGTTATGACGTAATGGTAGTTACACCTCAGAAGGGTTATGACGTAATGGTAGTTACACCTCAGAAGGGTTATGACGTAATGGCAATTACACCTCAGAAGGGTTATGACGGAATGGTAGTTACACCTCAGAAGGGTTATGACGTAATGGTAGTTACACCTCAGAAGGGTTATGACGTAATGACAGTTACACCTCAGAAGGGTTATGACGGAATGGTAGTTACACCTCAGAAGGGTTATGACGGAATGGTAGTTACACCTCAGAAGGGTTATGACGGAATGGTAGTTACACCTCAGAAGGGTTATGAGGTATTGTCAGTTACACCTCAGAAGGGTTATGACGTAATGGATAGTTACACCTCAGAAGGGTTATGAGGTATTGTCAGTTACACCTCAGAAGAGTTACGACGCAATGACAGTTTCACCTTAGAAAGGTTATGATGTAATGGTAGTTACACCTCAGAAGAGTTACGACGTAATGACAGTTACACCTTAGAAGGGTTATGACGTAATGGTAGTTACACCTCAGAAGAGTTACGACGTAATGACAGTTACACCTTAGAAGGGTTATGACGTAATGGCCGTTACACCTTAGAAGGGTTATGACATAATGGTAGTTACACTTCAGAAGGGTTTTGACGTAATGACAGTTACACCTTAGAAGGGTTATGACGTAATGGTAGTTACACTTCAGAAGGGTTTTGACGTAATGACAGTTACACCTTAGAAGGGTTATGACGTAATGGTAGTTACACTTTAGAAGGGTTATGACGTAATGGTAGTTACACTTCAGAAGGGCTATGACGTAATGGTAGTTACACCCCCAGAAGAGTTATGACGTAATGGTAGCTACACTTCAGAAGGGTTATGACGTCATGGTAGTTACACCTCAGAAGAGTTGTGACGAAATGGTAGTTACATCTCAGAAGAGTTATGACGTAATGGTAGTTACACTTCAGAAGGGTTATGACGTAATGGTAGTTACACCTCAGAAGAGTTATGACGTAATGGTAGTTACACCTCAGAAGAGTTATGACGTAATGGTAGTTGCACCTCAGAAGAGTTATGACGTAATGGTAGTTACACCTCAGAAGAGTTATGACGTAATGGTAGTTACACTTCAGAAGGGTTATGACGTAATGGTAGTTACACTTCAGAAGGGTTTTGACGTAATGACAGTTACACCTTAGAAGGGTTATGACGTAATGGTAGTTACACTTTAGAAGGGTTATGACGTAATGGTAGTTACACTTCAGAAGGGCTATGACGTAATGGTAGTTACACCCCAGAAGAGTTATGACGTAATGGTAGCTACACTTCAGAAGGGTTATGACGTCATGGTAGTTACACCTCAGAAGAGTTATGACGTAATGGTAGTTACACCTCAGAAGAGTTATGACTTAATGGTAGTTACACCTCAGAAGGGTTATGACGTAATGGTAGTTACACCTCCGAAGGGTAATGACATTATAATGGCTATGACGTCATGAGTTATACAATGGCTATGGCGGTACAAAAAATAAAAACAAGACTCAAGTGAGAGCCATATCGAGCCAGCAACACACAAGAAAGAACAGCACTACGACACCGGTAAGGGCGCGCTCCCGGCTAGTAAAAGTACAAAATAAGAGGGGAGTAACGAGCATAGCTGATTGTTATGATGGACGAGGGGTTGTAACGACCAACCTGGCAACTCGCACACACACATTTATACACATATATACACACACACACACACACATACACAAACTTAACAACAGAGCTGAAACACTTAATATTACTTATGATCACTAACTCACGTGTCTTTGTAAATTATAAATATAAGACGTCCATTATGTCTATGTAGTTCATTATTTTCCACTAGAAACTTTTCAAGATGATTGTTTACATGAAGAACCTTCGAGGACGATGGTTCAGAAGCCATAATCCTCAAGGGGTTAAACCATCGTCCTTAAAGGGTTAATTGCTAATATTTTAAACATTTACCTTCACTTTAAACAATTATTCTTACGATATTATTAACATGTTCCTGTATTCCTCTCCTATCTTTTTTTTACTCTATCATACTGTACATGTTTATCAACCTTACCTATATCCTCAAGCAACGACTATACAAACACATTAAGACATCTTCTATGAGATAAGCAGAGTGGCAGTGTGTGTGTGTGTGTATACAGGAGAAGCACACGGCCACTCTGCTGATCATATACTTTTAAGCTTTACTGTACGTAGATATGTTGACAGAGAGAGAGGGAGTGTGTGAATCGACTAACGCCACTTGCCGTTTCCAGGAATTCAGGTATACAAAGAGCGGATTTCATATACTGTACTTTTTTCTCCTCTTTACCAACAGTAATCTTTATGATGTTTTGATGCCGTGGGAATGATGAATACATTCTTGGTTTTATTTAGTTTTTTAGTTTTAATTTTTTCTTCAATGGTGTATCTTTTGTTTGGCATTATCCAGTCTTGGAATACTGTGTTTTTGTTTTTTGGGGGTTACTCTTAATTTGTTTTGGATTTTTGTTTGTGTCTTTATTTTTACTGCTTTTTTTTCGACTTCGTCTTCTGGACAGAGGTAACAGGTGAATCAAATCCCAGTGATTAAAGTTAAGGAAGATAGTTACTAAGATTTATCCTTTATTACCACTCACCTAAACATCTGCAAAGAAAAAAAAAATAAAAAATAAAATAAGCAGATGTTTGGAAACTATGGTAATAAAGAGTAATAATTTAAGGCCAAAAAAGTTACTAAGGATAAAAAGTTTAGATATTATTGCCACGTTTCGAACAATGGCGTGTGGAACGTGTAGCAATAATACTTTTAGAAAATTAAAAGACCAAAAGTTACTAAAACATTCTCTTTTTTCATCATTTTAACACAACATTTCCCTCATTCCAAAACATTTAAAAAAAATCATTTTCTAGATTTTTAAATGTTTTGCAAAAAAGGGAGCAATGATAATAACATTTAATTTTATTCAATTAAATCATTTCATATTTCTCTGTATCTAAGTTGCATGTTCCCGACCAACTTGCAATATACAGTAAACCCTCCAATTACCGGACTAATTTTTGCAAGCCCTGTCCGATATTGGGAGAATTGTGTCATTGAGAGGGTTTACTGTATCCATTACTTTATTGAGAAGTCCGTTATTGAGAAGTTTACTGTATCCATTACTTTATTGAGAAGTCCGTTATTGAGAGGATGTACTGTAGTTAATTTGTGTACAGCTTCCAATACTCCTTGACTTTTAGTACTATAGTGTACGATAGTGTAGGTAAGCAGGTTATGTTGTGTACTGTGCAGTGTGTCCCTGTGAGACCTCCATAAAAGCCTTGAGGGTAAAATAGGAATGACCTCGACAAGCTGTCACGATGGAATGTGTCTGTGACGGAGAGAGAGAGATAGAGATGATAAAGATAAAGTTTTAGAAAGGAGGAGAGATAGAGATGATAAAGATAAAGTTTTAGAAAGGAGGAGAGATAGAGATGATAAAGATAAAGTTTTAGAAAGGAGGAGAGATAGAGATGATAAAGATAAAGTTTTAGAAAGGAGGAGAGATAGAGATGATAAAGATAAAGTTTTAGAAAGGAGGAGAGAGATGATAAAGATAACGTCTTAGAAAGGAGGAGAGATAGAGATGATAAAGATAAAGTTTTAGAAAGGACGATGGACATGATTAAGGATTTGAGAGAGAGAGAGAGAGAGAGAGAGAGAGAGAGAGAGAGCTCAAACGACCTGTGTTCGTGTACAAATTGGTATTGGTATTGAAGAAGTGGTAAATCCAAGACAAGTATTTCTGAGAGAGACACACGCACACACACACACACACACACACACACACACACACACACACACGACTCCATAAGTGCGCGCGCACAAAACACACTTATTTCTCTCTCAATTTCTCTCTCAACACACACTCACACACGCAATCACAGACTTTAGACCATTTATTTTTCTTTGTTATTATGAGAAATTTGTTCAGTACCACTTACGAGAGAGAGAGAGAGAGAGAGAGACTGACATATCTGTTAATAAGAGCAAGAATCAGACAGGTAATTTAACGAAAGAATCAGGGAGTCAGGTAATATAGTATTGAAGAGATAGTGAAGGAGAAGGGGAGGGAGAGAGAAAGGCATTGAGACTGAGATAGATGACGGAAGAAGAGAAGTTAGGAGAAGAGTAAGAGACAAAGGAAATGCCAAGAGAAAGAGAGGGACAGAGAGAATGAATGTGAGGAATATAAATAAAAAAAAGAAAAAGTGAAAGAAGAATTTGCAAGACTGAAAGATTAAAAAAAAAATTAGACAGTATAAGAGAGAGAGAGAGAGAGAGAGAGAGAGAGAGAGAGAGAGAGAGAGAGAGAGAGAATCTAAAAAGTGTGAAATAGTGAGACATTGAGAAAGTAAAAACAATTAAACAAAATTAAAGAAAGAAGAGATAAGAGAGACATGGTAAGAAAGAAGCAGCAAAAAAGACACAAAAATGAAGAGAGATAAGCAGATTGAGAGAGAGAGAGAGAGAGAGAGAGAGAGAGAGAGATCACCCCTCTGCTTTTATGGAGAACTTTGGGTCAACACATTGGTTTGTTACGTCACAATCTACCAATCTCCCTCCCTCCAGGCTGTACTGCACATAGCGACTGACAATGTTTCCCCAATCCAGTCATATTCCTTATCCAATCATCCTCCAATCCAGTCATATCCAGTTATACACTAATCCAGGCATACTTTCTAATCCCGTCAGTTATATTCTAAGCCTTATTCAAGTAAGGTGCTAATCCCTTATCCAGTGAGACTTTAATCCACAATCCAGTCACACAACGAATTCTTAACCGCATTACAATCTATATCCCGATTCAGTCAAACCCTAATCCAATTACATTAAATCTAATCACAAAACTACTCTCTAGTCCAAGCACATCCCCAGTCACACCTAGTTCATAATCCAGTCATTCACTAATCTTTGATACAGTCACACTCTAATCTGCAAGCCATTCACATGATCCAATTCACCCAATCCCTCAAACGCCCCCTAATCCGGTCTTGAGTATAATCAGGCTGGTATCCTACAACCCTTAAATATGTGTTTCGAATCACCATTGGAACGGACTCATGAGCCTCGTTTAAATCCCTTAATCTTAGGAAGTGGAAACCCCTTATCAATAATTTCTATCCTTTAGGTGTTAATAACAAGTTAATAATCATTATACACGTTAATTATACATCCTTTAATTATTAGACTCTGTACACATCCTTGTTCACTCTGGCACTCAAGTCCTAATTACCACATAAGTTCTACTCTAAAACTTCAAAGAGGTCTTTCTCTAGCACTTAAGTCTAACTCTATTTTAGCGCTTAAGTCCTCTTACTCTAGTGCTCAATGAGTCACTGTAACGCCTACGCCAATTTATTAGTGATTTAAGTCTTATTCCGGCGTTTAAGACTGATCCTAGCACTGAAAAGTTTTGATATGACTCTTACCTCTCCAAGACTTATAACTCTTTTTAAAGCTCGAGTCTTATTGCTTACTCTTATTAATTGAGTCTTAATGTAAATTGTTAATCTTTGTCTTAAATTAGTCTTATCGCTCTAGTCTTATCAACTCTTAGCTCTTTACAAGTCTTAATAACAATCCTTTAGCGCTTAATAAGAATCTTCACTCTTAAAAACCACCTTGGCTTCACAGTCTTACATGCAGTGCAAGTTTAATTAAGGCCGGACAGGTAACCTCCTCAGGTAGAGTGAGGTGCAGGTAAATTTTTAAGCCATGGTTTGTGAATTATTATTATTATTATTATTATTATTATTATTATTATTATTATTATTATTATTATTATTATAAGAGGTATGTTTTGCCTTTGTTACGTGTATTTATGAATGTTGGAAATAGATAAAAGTAAATAAACATTGATAAAAAACGGTGAAGAGGAAGATAATTGATAATGAAACAACGGGGAAGAATTAAAAAAAATATATATATTGCAACAATTCGTTTTGTGTGGGAAGGAAGAGAGAAAATAAATAATAAAATAGAAAAAAGGAGAAGAAGAGAAATAGACAAATTCAAGGAAAGAGAAAACATGAGTTAAATTATTTGTTTAATGAATGACTGGAGTTAGTTTGGGCATTATTTATAATTTAGAGATTGAAAGTAATAATTAAATTATTATTATTATTATTTTATTTACGTGAAAGAATGAAGAAAAAGAATGAAATAGGTGGAGATAATAGAGGTAGAAGGCATGAAATGATTGGAAAATATAAATAAATGAAAGAAAGAATGAAAGAGACGATATAGGGATAAAAGACTGTAAAAGAGGAACTAAAGAAGGAACAAAAAGCACAAAGAAATGAATAAGAGAAAGAGAGGAAAGAATCAAAGGAATTGGAAGATTAGAGAAGATGATAGACGATTACAGAGTAGAGAGAAGGAGTGAGAGATAAATAGAGAGATAGTGAGATACTTAACAATAGGGAGTGAGATAGAGAAAATGTGGAGATGAGAGAGCATTAGAGAAAATGGGGAGAGACGGAGGAGAGATAGAGAAAATAGAGAAAGAAATATAAAATAGGGAGAGATGGGGAGAAAATGGGGATATATATAGTAAATAGGGAGACAGGACATATCAAATAGGGAGAGGATACATAGGTATAACCCTTAGAAGAAGAGAGCTGATTAAATAACGCAGAGGAACAAGAAATAGGACGAGATAGATAAAGATGGAAAGAGAAGAGAGGGAGAGACAGAGATAAAAATAGGAAAAAGACAAAAATATTCTAATAGGAGGTAAGAGTTGAGATAATAGAAAGAAAATCGAAAAAAGTGATAAAATTAGGAAGATAATGGATATGAAAAAGGAAAAAAGAAGATAATCAGATAACAATAGGAATTAGACGAAAAAACGAATAAAAGTAGACGTAGTGATAAATGTATATACTCAAACAATACAAAAAAGAACAGGAATGAAAGAGTATAAATAATAAGTATATAAAAACAAAGAAAGGAAAAGAAATGGGAAGAAATTCTCAAGAAATTACTAAATTCAAAAGAAACGCAACAAATCAGAATATACAAATCGGTGATAAAATTGGAATAAAGAGTAGATGTGGGAATATTCGGTTAACGGGAGAACGAGAGAGTATCCGGTTAATACAACAGGTATAACATCCGGTTAATGAGAAAGGTAATGAGGTTTCCAGTTTGCCGGTTTAGGAAAAAATAGTGAATTTAGGTTAATGAAATACAAGCGAAAATCCGGTTAAAGGAATAGGTAATAAATTTGGGTTAAAGAAATATGTAGCTAGAATCCGGTTTAGGTGAGCAAGCAGTGGTTTTAACAACAGCAATTAAATAAGAAATTGGCTCAGATTTTACGAGTTTTTAAGGTTTGGTTAAAATCGTGAAAGATGATGTTAAAATCTGAAGGAAATGGAACGTTAATTCGGAGGAAAGTTTTTAAAGTTAGGTTAGAAATCTGACAGAAATGGATAGTTAAATCGAAGGAAAGCTCTTATGTTAGGTTAAAATCGTGGGAAATAAGTTAAAAATAAGTTTAAAAATCGATCATAGAAAATTAGCTCAGATTTTAAAAAGCTCTTAGATTAAAAAAAAGTTGAATGATAAGTAGAAAAAAAATAATAATAAGTAATGTTAAAATCTATCATAAGTAAACAAAATAAGTC